GCCAAGCTTGCCGAGCAGGCAAAGCAAGCTGCAGCCAGCAATATGGCCACTGAAGCTGTTGGTGGTGGGAACAATGAGCCAAAGGAAGTGTTGCCAGAAGTCAATGGCTGTTCTACCCACATGTGTGAGTCCATTGCTCATTTTCTTCAATTGAAGGGCATCTCCAGTGATATTGCAATTTCTGGAGGTTTGGATCGAGGAATTGCCAGTGCACTGGTCACAACACACTTCCTTCCAACTGCTGGCACGGCTTCCTGTGATGATCATGACAAACTCACTGCAAATGAGGTTCTGGAATCAGCACTCAACCTGATCCCAGTGCTGTTGGTTGCAAATGACGACAATGCCTCTGCGGCCTCAGATTGTGCTCAGAAAGGACCACCATGGCTTGGACCATTGAAGGAGCGCTTGCAGCAAACAACTACCAGGGCTGCTATGATGACTCCTGACAAGGGTACACTGTCAGAGTTTGTTTTCGGGTACAAGAACAATGATGGGTTGAATGAGATGATGTCTTTGCTTGATGCTTTGGCTTCAAGCACCTATCAAGTTGCAAGTATGTTCCCTGAGCCAGCTCAAGCTCAAGTGCTGAAGGCACTTCGCTCAGTTGTGCTGCATCTTTATGAGACTCACTCATTCTTCTGCGGCACCTATGATATGCTGACTGGACGGGTTATTCATTGCATCAGTGGCTGCCGTTTCATTGCTGGGATTCCAATTGACAAGGCCTTTTCATGTTTCCAAAAGGCCAACAACAAGGACGTCTCCACAACTGTGGATTTGGCAAGTTGGCTGAGGAAAGAATGCTCTCTGGAAACCATTATGGAGGAAGGCTTCTACGTTCTTCTGCAACAAGGAGATGTCTTTGTAGTACCTCCGGTCTTTTTCATGATTGAGGCCAGTCTGGGCATTGGTGATGCAGTGCTTGTATCCTATCCCTTTATGCCTGCAGTGAGAACATTGCAGCCAAATCGTCACTTGAATGGAATTGGACAGGCTGTGTTGATAACCGTTTGTTCTATTTGTGGTTTGGTAACTCACAACTGAACGCTATTTGTTATATATATATATGGTTTTATATGGTTTGAACCTTAGTCACCAAGGCCTTGTGTTGGACTTCACAGCTCACTGGGAAGAGTCCCTCAAGCTGATGCAGAAGGTCTTGCCATCAGATCAGAGCACAACGTTCAAGTTCCGTTCCAAGGTGCTCATGGACTTGCTTCGACTCAGCCAAGTGAAGCAACAAGAGCATACTTCTGACAATCATGTCTTTATCTCTGATGTCAGGCTTGAGGAAATTGAAGACCAGGTGCGATGCAAGTTGTCTAAGCTTGACGACATACAACTTGGTAAGAAAGCCGAGGGAATAAAGAACCATCCTCGGCTGTCAGAGTACAATACTTTTGTGGGTGAAGAGATGGATTTGAACCTTGACTTTGGTGATGAGTTCGGTTCTAATGGCAATGGCTTTGAAGCTCTTGTTGGTTTCTTCACGTGGTTGGAAGCAATCCAAGAAGCAGAACAAGCAGCAGTGCAGGCAGTAGACGTTCCGTCTTTGCCAAAACAAGCAGCAGGACAACACAACCCAACAACTGCTGGTCAACGAGTTCCAGATCAAGCAGACTTGTCCGACAAAACAAACGAGCAGCCACCAACAAATACATCATCAATGTCAGAAGCAGCAACTGCAAGGACCAGTGAAATGCATCCAGCACAGCCTGAGCAACATGAACCAAAGCAGACAGCAGAGCAAGCAGCGAAGCCATTAGGTGTTCCTTCTTTGTCACAGCAAACATCACTTGCAAATCACCATGCCGGCAACACACAAACACCGGCAACAGATGCCGGCAACACACAAACACCGGCAACAGTGCCAGCAGCTACAACTTCAGTTGCACAGCCTCCTCAAGACATTCCAAAGCAGCAACAATATTCTTCCAATGGAGAAGCAGCTGAAGCAGCGGCACCAACGGCGGAAGTGCCAGCAGCAGTGATAGCAGAGGCACCGACCACAGCGCCTTCATCACTGGAAGTTGCAGCAGCAGCAGCAACAAACCCAGGACCAGAATCAGAAGCAGTGGAAGTGTCAGCAGCTACAGCACCAAGTGCAACCAGAGTGACTTCACCAACAGCTGCAGCAGCAATGACTGAGAGTGGGAACAACTCTGAACCACCAGAAGCGGAATTGTCAGCAGCTGCAGCACCAACCACAACATCATCACCAGAACCAGAGACACCAGCATTCTTTGGTCCACCAGCAGCAACAGTGCCAGCAGCTACAGCAACAACCACAGCAGAGGCACCAACCATTCTCTCTGGACCACCAGCAGTCTCTGGACCACTATCAGCAGAAGAGCCAGCAGCTATGGAACTGACCATAGCTCCTTCACCACCAGCGAGTGCAGCAGCGACAACAAGGGCAGAACCAGCAGAGCCAGTGCCAGCAGAGACACTACCGCAACAACAGCTGACTCGGCTGACACTGCAGCAACACCAGGACGGCCTCTTTTCCAAGAGGCTGGAAAAAATGATTCAGGAGGCGGATACACCGGAAGCAGCATCAGGTGATGAAGAGCAACCAGCAGAAGCAGAGTCAGCAGCAAAAGCAAACAAGGCAAAAGCACCACCACCAACCACAACCACAGCTGCAGCAGTGATGACTCAGACTGGGAACAACTCTGAACCAGCAACACTGACAGCAGCTACAGCAGAGGCACCAACCATCATCTCTGGACCACCGCCAGCAGAAGAAGTGCCAGCAGCTACAGCTTCAGATACACCGTCTCAAGAAGTTCCAAGCCAGCAACATCAATCTACCTCCAATGGAGAAGCTACAAATGAAACACAGAGTTCTACAGCAGCAGCAGCAGCAACTCTGCTTGACACACACAACGAAGACAACCCAACATCAGCAACAAACATCACTTTGTCACCAACACATGGGTTTTTCGACCCTTCCACATACCACGGCAAAACAGTGACATTGCCACCTCCTGAGAAGATGGGAAGATTGCCAGATGTTCCAACACTAAGATCCGACACAAAAAGAGCTTTCTTTGACCCAGCAACGTACCAGGATGCAAAGCGGTTGAAGACTGCAGTACTGCCATCAACAGCCACTGCAGAATCAGCAGAAACACTTGCAGCAAAAGCTGATTTGGCTAGAAAGAAACACCTCCAATCACTACAAACAACACCCCAATCCTCCGACAGGAAGAACATATCCAATGCCGCCAATCTATCTGATGTACCATCTGAACCCGCAGCTTGATTGTGTTATTAATTGTTTTGATATTCTTATTGTTTGTTTTCATGTTGCTGCTTGGTGGGGATGCCTTTGACAGGGAGGCATTTGACGAACAAAAACACTAGTGAATATTTTCACCAGGCACATCTGGGAAATGCATGTGTTTGTATCTAATTTTGGAACCTAGATGTCACAGGCACCCGTGGCTACAAAGAGATCGTGCATGCCCAGCTCAACTCCAGCAAATCCTGCGTTGGCATCAAGTTCACTGGCTTCCAGCTTGTCTCTTGAGCAAGAGCTTGAGGCCATGATGGATGCGATGGGTGATGATGAGTTATATGACGAAGCCGAAGCCAAAACCGCAGCCGATGATCAGGACAGGATTTACTAGTGTTCTTTGTTGTTCCTTAAGTTTGAGTCTGAACATTGAGCCTGAGAAGTTTGAGCTTGTATTTGGGTTGAAGTTGTTAATCAATGAACAGTTATGAAAACTTGAGCTAGAACTAGAATTATTTAAGGAAAAATTGGGTGTGTACATCAGGAAGCATGTGTGACTACTTCAGGGACAACGCCTACACAAATGGAGAAAAAGAATTCCAATGGCATGGTCAACAGTGACGTTAATTTTGGTAGAGGTAGAACTAATCCCTCTGCATCAGCTTCGCCGAAGGTGAAAGCCAAAGCAAGCGCGACGAATCGTGCATCCAATTTTCATTCGGCGAAATCTACTCAGGCGGCCAAAGCAACAGCAAAGCCGTCTCCTAAGCCTAAGGCCAAATCGAAACCAAAGCCAAAGGCTACTCCAAAGAGGAGGACCAAGAAATAAAGATGTCTGTTTCCTAATTGTTTTTATATATCGTTGAACAAGCAACTACCTTTTACAATATATCGGTGTGTTTCAGCTGTCAGTGAGTTGCCAGTTGCCATGAGTTCTTGTTTACAGGTTTCTGGAAAAGGTTGGTGCACAGTTGTGACAGTGGCGGTCGGACATGACCTGAAGGCTGTGACTGAATGACATCTGTCAGTGCCTGTAACCTATGCGGTTTGAGGGCGGGTGGCGCTGCAGAAACTATGCAGGTCAGGCCTTGCAAATGACCGACTGGCCTAGGGGCAAAAAAGCAACACGGTCTTTTGCAGCAGATTGGGAGCGTTTAGATTGGGAGCATGTATATGTATATGCATTCATACCACCAGAAGGTAACGGTCAATTGAACATTGCTCAAACACTGCGCTGAACTGAATGTGAACACCATAACAAAGCGTTGTACAGTTGAAAGCATTCTCTGTTTCCTACTTTGCTAAGCTTGGATTTGCATTGCTAGCTGCCTGGAGTCATCAGGAGGTGGAGTCTCCTCTTCTAGGAAGTGTAAGTTGCGCTTTGTAATTGGATCTCTCTCTTTGCTAGCTGTCTCCGGGGAAGTATGCTCCAACTAAACACTTGCCACCTGCCCTACCCCTACCCATATATACATTCTGCACAAAGCTCTGCATATGATATTACGCACATCTACAGTGTACAGCTACATCCACCAGCCTGCGCAATTTGCATGTTGCACGTTTTCATTTCACCAAACCATGATATGTACGCGTTTCATTTTTTCTAAAAAATACCAACGTCAAAATTCTCGTTGAAAGTCTCACTGGAATGAGTAGAAGAAAGAAAGGTAAGGCCCGCCGTCCGTCCTTTTTCTTATTTTAACTTCAAGCAATTCACGTAAAACTCTTCCACAACCCCTCCAGCGCAAACTCTCAGGTGAGCTGGGCCGCGCAGCAGCCATGAGCTCTCCCCGGCCGATGGTTGCATTGCTGGAGGAGATCGACATGGGTGATCCGCAAGGCGCGCAGCCAAAGCCACACGGCAACCTGATGACATCGCTAAGTTGAACAGGAAACATCAATGAGACGCAACAGCAATGGCACTGAATTCGGACCGGTTTCCCGTTTGGTTCAATGATCGAAGTCAATTGAATCAATCAGACAGCAGACAGTCCTTCCAGTCACTGCCCCAAAATACTTGTAACCTCCAAAATGCAGTCAAGTCCTCTACAGACGAGTGAATGAAGGTCTGTCGCCTCGTTTGACCGCTGCTCCAAGGGGATGGTGGCGGTGATCTGGAAACGTCTCCCCTATCTTTAGCGATTTTCGTCCTCTTGGCCGACCAGGCACTGAACAGAGCTCATGAGATCTCATGAGTCATGAGCTCACTTCGGAAAAGACATCGAGATATGGTGATTTGGCTCTCCCTGTTTGCAACAATACAGGCGGTCGAAGTTACCTATCAAGGTTCGCAACTTAGTCATGTGGCATATGTTGGCATTTAGCCAGGTGTGCTAGGTTACATGAAACATATGAAAACTATGGTAACATCGGCCAGATACAATGCTTGAAATAGCTGCACCTTCAAATCCGGTATTGCTCTTGCAAGTCCATTATAGACGCGCGCCATCGCTTGCAGGTTGACCCATAGACTTTCCACTCTGCATGACTCTCATAACAGTTATACTTAGTTATACCTCTTCAAAGGATTCCAAATACTGCAACTGGTTGAAATCCTACACAGCTTTCATTCCCCACTTCGGGAGCATGGACTTCGGCGCCTTTCATGAACAGCTTTAGACTTCTGCCAGGCGCCTGAAAAGATGCTTCCTCATGGCTTGCCCTTGTGCATCTCCCGTTTGCGGCGCGCCAACATCCTGCTGCGCAGTAGCTATGTGCTGCTGTCGAACGCAGAGCTGGCGCCGAGTCTCGGAAAGAGCTTTGAAGATTTGGGGAATGACGTGGAATAAAGAGCTTTGAATGCTCTCACTGGCCCTGCGGCTTTCTTTAGCTGTTTAGACTGTTGAGATATGATAATATGTTGAGATGCAGTAGTTGCCGCCTTATGGTGTACGACATGTGGAACAAATGATTTCTTGGAGTCATTTCAGGTCACTGTTGGAAGGTTCAGGCACATCCATTCTTCGCAGGTTCTCCAGCACTTCGCAAGGGGAGAACGATGTGGCTGTTCTTTGCTGAAGAGTGTTTCCTTCCCACAACATCACACATCATACAATGTGGTTGGAGATAGATGGCATAAGCTGAGTCAAAGAAGTGAGGTATGATGAGATGATATGAGATGTATAACTTGAGATTATGCTTGCAAGTGGAAATCCGTGGATCTCAATATGCGTTCACATGTCCTTCACTCCTGCTCCAGGAATGTGGTGAACCTGGGGGATTTGAAGTCTTTAGACGATCCACAGGTCCGGGGCCTCGATGACGAAGGGTCCACGAGTCCACACCGGTTTGACACAAAGAGGCACAGTCAACGCCGAAAGAGTGTGAGGCCATGTTTTGCTCAACCCCGAAGGTAGGTGCTGTTGAACAGTGTTCATCGTCCTAAACCGGGGCTGGTGGAATTTGTTTCAGTTTGGTTCTGAGTCCATTCTTAGAGTTCTCTTTTTCTGGTGAGCCCTTTTTTGCTCTTTTGTTTTGTTGTTTCCAGCCTTGGAGGGGATTTCTGGGCCTTCGCTTTCATATCCTTAGAAACTGTTTGCCCCGCAAGCGTCGTGCAGTTTGGTAGAGATTCACAAATTGGGACACACATATGAAACGGGTTTCAGGTCCTTTTAATGCATCAAGTAGGCCATTTCTATTGCATCCTGCAGATATGACATACACATACGGCATGGGGACCTGAGGCCCTCGACCTCCAGCCTTAACAGATGGTTTTCTGGACCAACTGTCTATGACAAGCAACGCATCAGTGCCAGCGTTAGGTGCTTCCTAGTGCGCAGAGCAATCCCTGCTGGGCACAGCGTGGCTTGCGGCTTTTTGCCTCGTCAATCGCACTGCTGAAAGATGCCAAACTGAGCGAATTGAGGAGCGCTCCAAGCTGCAACGGGCCGAAGCCGGCAGAACAAGCGGGAGGTGTCCGTGCAAACAATCTGCAAAATAGGGCCTCAAATCAATAATTGGTTGGCTAAATCAGGGGACAGACATCCACCGTCAAGTTGGCTGATGGTCACGCAGGAGTCGTTGAGATTTTGTGGTCAGCCAACAGGAATTTCGCAAGAACCAAAGATTGGTGGGAGTTTGCAACTTAACGGTGTGTTTTTGACAAGCTGCTATTGTCGCGTTGGAACAGGTTTTTCGACAACAGATTGACACGTCCACTGGAACGAAACCACTGGAACGAAACCATAGAGCCTTGAGGCCCTCCCACTGGTTGAGACATGTTGAGACTGTGTAAACTCTTGCACGTCACCAAAGATTGGCCCACCAGAGGATCATCTCAAACTTGCAGCTTAAGGCCGAGATGACAAAACTGGTTTGAGCTCGAGTGGTTGCAACATCAAACAATCATGCAGATATGGTTAGGAATGTTCACTTGCTGTGTAGGGTTCTCACAGCGAGGACCAACACCCACTTCCATGTTAAGCTTAAGCTTAACAAAGCCTTAGCTCAACAGCCAAACCTATTGACGCCCTCCCATTGACCACGACTTGGGTAGCACATTTGAAGCTTCTGAGGTGCTAGCTGCCGCTGGTATCCCAACTTGCTCTTTCGAGACTGGACAGAGACCAGATTCGCCTCAGCCGGTCCAGATCTTTCAACCAAGCAATAACATGTCATTGTGATGCAGGCTATTGCAGGCTCATTGCACTGCATTTTTTTGAAGACTTGCAAGCCGTTATCCGAGGAAGAGTCTTGGACAGCTTGACCTCAACGGAAGACATCGAACAAAAGGCAGGAAGACATTGAACAAAAGGCAGATTATTTAATTTGTTGGGAAACAAAATCGACAGCTAGGAAGGAGCCCGGACCCAGGAGGTTTAGTTTTTGTGATGGAAGATAGAGGGAGTTCCAGCAAACAGACTGATGTTTTCAGTGTTGTCTACTTGTTACCAGCTTCCGGACAAGCAATTAGAGAAGGCAGTCTTGAACTGATTTCTCTAGGACCTGAGGGATGCCGAGTTCGTTGGGATCGGGTTGTTCCTAGCCAAAGGACTGGAGAAAATCGGTTTATGTTGGCCAACACCTTGATTGTCAAAGGCAGGATGGGACGTTGTATGATGGCTTAATTTCTGAAAGTCTCAACCAACCATTGTGAGTTGATGAGTCTCATGACTATATAGTACTCTCACCGAGTAGTGTTCACATTTGCTACTTTGCAGATCCTGACATACCCTACTTCCATCAGATGCCAGTGAAAGCATTGGTTTCCATGGTAACCTGGGTAATACCCAGCTGGGAAATACCTAGTGTGATGCCGGGCCTGGTGGTTTGCTTTTTTGGTTCCTTTGGTTTGGTCCAGCCTCCCTCCAGGCTCGGGGCCAGCTCTTTGGTGCTTGCTCGGCAGCGATGAGGGCCTTCACTTGGACATGTCGCTGTGAGCTCTATCTGGAGCGCGTGGGGAAGATGTGGTCTTCAGGTTTGAAAGCTTTTGGGGAAAAAGGCAGAAGACCTGTAACCAGAACATCACCTGGCAACGACAATGCGGAGCGATTGCTCTTGGTTGAAGCATCGAAAGCGAACGTGAAACCGACAAAGGCCCTGCAGTGGAGGTAGATCATGTTCCTTTTGGTGTTTCTCATGGAGGTAGATCATTTCTCCCTGAGACGACCTTCCCAGTCTCTCTGGCACTTTCCACCCATGGCGAGGAGATCATCCAGGGCAGTCGAGTGGATGCGGTGATCGGCAGCGTGGTAACACTCTTCAAGGAGGGATGGGAAAGGATGGCTGCATGGTGTGTGGCTAGAAATCCGCTTGGAGGTCAAAGACAGGGTGGTCAGCAGGCTTTCGGCCTGATATCTCAAGAGAGGGCATCAATGCATTGCATGCCAGCTAAGAGTTGGCAGTGGGGTCGCGGTCAATCTTTTTTCAGAGTCGTTGCTTCGTGTGAGCTTGAACTACAGCCAAGAGAGAATTCCAATGTTAAGATATGTTAAGTATATAAGTATAGTTCAGTTGACGTAATCCCCGCCAACTGGCATCCTCCTGGCCAACAGTCGCTCAATTCCTGAGCAAGTCCAAGTGCCATTGGGATGACCCCGAGCAGCCACGCTTGGTCACAAGACTAGTCGCAAGCCTTGCATCTTGTGATATTGGCTGCAAATTGGGGGAGGGGGATAATTATCCTGCACTCTCCGGATATTCCGGTATTCCTGTATGTCCATCATGATTCATGATTAATGGACCGGCAAAGACCGACTGTGCATTCCTGCATTGCTCTTCGCTTGCCAAAACAGGATGATTGGTGGAAAGAGGTGCTTGCCCGTACAGACGACTTGGGTGACTTGCGGCTGCAGCTACTGAAGGCCTGACGAGTGCCGATGAATCCCTCCTGTCAAGCCGTTTCCTCCTCCCACCCGGGCTGTCGTCGTGCCGTGCCTCTATGGAAAGTAAAAAAAACAAAACGAATTCTCACAAGCTTTCAAGACGCTTTGCAGGTCACCCATTTAGTAACCCTTCATGTGCAACCCCCTAGTTTTCTCCTTGATCCAACAGGTCCTGGAGGCCACGCTGTCAGGTGAGGTACAGTTGCTTGGAGCGATCAAATGGGCCATTTCAGTCTCGAGTTGGAGCTTTCTCTCCTTGCCTGGTGCTGGCTTTTGCGTGTTCTTAAAGCGGTTGGTGGTGAACCGGATGACCGCAGACAATAAGGCCCTCAAGAGATACTTTTCACCAGGATGTTATGCTGTTTCCCCGGAGCACGCGTCACACGTTGGGATTTGGCATGCAAGCCCTCTCTGAGGATTAGGATCCAATTCATCATGTGAAGGGCGGAACTAGGGTTACCTTCGGTTACCTTGTCTACTCACCACCCTTGCTCTCCCAGATAGAGGTGAAGAAGTGAAGCCTAAGACATCCTAAGACGGTCGTGGCCAGAAACTGATTGAAAACCCAAGGGTCTGCAGATGATTGTCCACTGAACTTTGGTGTAGAGGTTTTGCTGATATTTGAGCAACCCGAGGATCACCGATGCCATGGACACCCTCACAGCCGCTTTGAACATTTGTCGGTTGGTGGCCCTCTCGAAGCTCCCACAGGCGGGGCACGGGCGACGCCGGCCAACAGGAGCCTCCCTACCGTCATGGGAGATGAGCAGTTGCCAGTGGGCCTTCTCAAAAGTTTCTCATAGCACTTCAAAGGACCCAAGTTCGTCATTGAAGCTGTATCCTTTGGGAAGCGTGTTTTCTCCGCTTTCTGTTTTCGGAAAATGATCACGGAAGTCACCCACCCTCCAAGGTTGGGGTCTGAAAGTGCCAAAACCGCTCACTTACTCATACGGTTCCTCCGACAGCATTCAACTCACCTAATTGAAAGTGCAAAGAGACCTTGTTTTTGTGCATATGTCCATCAACTTTCGACTCTAGATACAGATCCCACGGTTCCACCATGTTCTACTCAAAAGCGATTCACAGCACGATCAACAGAGATTTCAAGCGTGGCCTTTGCCTAGGCGGAGATCCTTCGGCAAGCCTTGCGGCCTGGATCCGGGAAGCACCTGGATTTGGAGGCACAATACAGACGGCATCACCCGTTTGAAAGACCCTTAAGCTTGAGGAAAGAAGCTTGATCAGGTTGAGATGGGTCGAAGCGTTTTGGGACAGGATGTTCAGCCAAGCGAGTGTTTTGACACTCGGCTTTCAGCGTTTCAATACTTGGAAATGTTGATACGGAGACGGAGATACTGTAACCTGTTCGCGGCTGTTTCGCCAGACCTTTCTTCAACGTGACTTTAAGGTTGCGTCTGATCCATTCGCTGCTCGCTCAGGCGAGGTTGGCAACTATCTCCAAGCAGATTGACGCGGAGTTAAAGATGTGGCTCGGCACTGCACGGCAAGAATTCCGCTTGTGCGATTTCTGAGGTACTGGATCAGTGCATTTCAGTCTTAGCATTCCAGCAGCTCATGTCTGTGTTTGCTTTCGCTCTTCTTTGAACTTGAACTAATAATTCCATGCGTTGTGGGCACATGCCACAGAGAAGACATAGGAAACACAAAGAAAGGGACACAGATACAGTTTGTCCTCGAGTCACAAACAGCCTGATTGATTTAGGTATGTGGTCTCACGAAACCAGCCCTTCTGAAGACTGTTGCAAGCAAAAATTGCCTCCACGACTAGCCATTCCACTTTTTGGTATTCACTTGTATCCGACATGCGTATCAGATCGGGCAGAGTTCCAGGTTGGAGCATGGTGCATCACCCTTAGCTGCAGCCCTCGGTGATGCTTCAGCCGCTTGGTTTGGGAAAGTAGGATAAGAACTTATCAACGTCCGTTCCGGTCCATTCCAGCCGGTCCTAGTCCCCTAGTCAGACACATGTGATCACATGTGTATTCACTCTAGAATTTCCCTGGCTGGAAAGCCACAAAAGAGTTGGAACCAAGACATAGTCTGGGTTTGAGTCTGATCAGTTCTAGAAAGAATCCGAATTCAACCGACCTTAAACCGATTGAGGTGAACTTGGATCAGCTCAAGCGAGACCGCATTACTATGGTGGCCCATCTCGTGAGCCGTGTGCGCGAGATCTTGGCCGAAGGACCCCTGCGCTGAAAAAAATTGCACTGCGCAGTGCACTGCGCAGCCTGTTGGGAACACGTGATGGGTGCACTTTTGAGGGGTGAAGCTTGGTAGGTTTTCTTCGCTGCTGGGTTGGAGGCCATCGCCATTTGGTAGGTTTTCTTTGCGAGATGTTTGGCTTGATGGAGAGCTACCGCCTTGAGCCACTGGATGACCCACTGGTGACGTGCGAGTGTAGTTTCATTTCTCGCGGGATGAACTCTCGCGGGATGAACCCGCCACCCTTCCTTAGATCTGCAGGAATCATAGCTCAGCACGTCCCTGCCCTTCACGAAAATGCCTTGCATCTTCAATACTTTTGCCCTGCGGTGTTTGCCACATCACGCACGGAGGGGTATACACTCATCGCCACAACTCCAAGAACGGGCTAGGCAAGCTGAATGTGTCGAATCCTCAGTTGTTTGGAGTGATCCTCGCACCCGATACCTCATGTCTCCTGGCCGAGGCCACTGGAGGCACGACCGACATTTGGCAGAGGGGCCATAACATGGCATTTGTGTATTGCGGTGGAAATGGTTTGGCTTTGATGCCTATGTCTTGCTCTTGGGACGACTCCATCTCTTCTAACCGTTTGTTTGTTTGGCTTTCTAAGAGTTCAATATCCTGTAGTGTTCCGAGTGTAGAGGTTATGGAAGTGGATGGTCCACTGCGCGAAAACTACCAGTATAAGAAAGCCAGGAAGCCCGGCAATGCCGGATGCATAGGGTATTATGAGCGTTGGGTGAAACATCTTGGGCCAATTAGCAGTGGACTCGTATACGGCCGCTTCAGCCCAGTTTATTAAAGAGAGACCAAAGTTGGAGTGTTAGTGAAGTTAGTTTCGCCCTTGGCGATCCGGACACCGCAGTTTTCCTAGTTTGCAGCTAAAGTTCTCATGATTGTTCAGTCACATGAAGTCTTATATGGGTGCTGTTGTTGAGAAGTGGGCTGCATCAGCTCTGTCTTTGTTTGTCCGGTGGTTGGTTTGTCAGTTGCAAACAGAAATCCAGGGCCAACTTTGCAGGGAACCTGTTTGCGTTTTCGTCCTGGCATGTGTTTCTGCCCAAGCTTGCTTCACACCAACCCGCTCAAATGAGCCAACATGTAGCTTGGGAGTGAGCCCACTGATCGAAACACAAACTAGCGCGCAGCAGCAGATAGTTTGGTCAAACCCAGAACTTTGTCAATGTGCTGCAGAACAGCCAGCAAAGCCAGATTGGTAGCTTTTGTTTAACATGAGCTTTTTGTCGAAAGCAATTGAACCCTTAGCCCAAGTAGCCCCTCTCCAAACCTCGGCTTCCCTCTTCAGGACTATCCGCAGAAGCTAGAAAAGATCATCAAAACATTGGAAGCACAAACTGCAAAGAGGGCCGTGTGCGGGTCCTTCTTCGGGTGCTTTCTTTGGGCCATGCCCGTCGCCCTGCAACTTGGTCCGAAACAGTTGCTTTGAACTTTGCAGTTGTGGACATCCGACACTGATCTGCAACGAACAGTCGCGAGCTTTTTCCTAAGTGCAAAGCAAGTGCACTGTTCGTGCAAAGCAACTGGCCACAATTTCCCTACCTCTTTGCCTCAGGTGAGGTTTCCCCAATCTCGACTCCAGGCATGAGGAGAGCCCTTCTCCGGCTGACGGTGAGCCAACGGAATTGGCAGGAGGTGAATAAGAAGGTGCATCGCAAGTGGGAGTTGCTCCGGAGGTGCAGAAATTAGACGAAATTGGTAAGGTCCAAAGGTCAAAATAAAAATAGGACAGAAGAAGGGTCGCTATGATTCCTGGCTTTTCCGGGAACCGCTTAATTTGAAGTTTCAAGGCACTTTGGTGCTGTCCTAGTCGGCCGCTTCGGCGAAGGCGACAGGTACCAAACGAATAGATACGAATATATAGGCATGTTTCAGTGAGACTTTCTTGAAGGCCGAACCTCCGACTAATTTGTTATATATTATTTTTGTGTGTGTGTTGAATAGAACTTAAAACATAAAAAAACACAATATCTTTGGTTCCAAGTATTCTGCATGCCCTTGAATCATTCGACAAACATCTAATGTAAACTATCTAAAACTCAGAAACTCCGAAGCAAGAAGCATTGTCCCAAGCTCTACGTTCCATGTCACTCCCTTGCTTGCTGCTTTGCTCCGCTTTGCTCCCTGAACATCCCTCTCTCCCTCTCTTGAGCGTCATTCCCTCAGCCATGAGCCCCAGCGAGGTCTTGGAGGAGGTCCGCCAGGCGGAATTCGTGGCCTTCGACTTGGAGCTGACCGGACTCCATGTCTCCTTGGCAGATGGCGTCCAGGGTCCAAACGGGGACTGGAAACTACTCTCAGGTCCAGAGACAGAGGTGCTTATTGATGCCTCGGTTTGTCGGAGTCGCTTTTCTCCAACGATGAGGACGCCCACAACCACGAAGGATTTATCTCTGATGAGAAAACTGTTCCTTCAAAGATTCGCTGAGAGGGATCTTAGAGAGCCATGGTTCGAATCCCCTATGTCTATGGTAGAGTTATGTCGAGAAAATGGGAAGACATGGGAGCTGTGTCTATCCGTCCTTTGCTTCCAAGGTAAAGAACGAGCGTTTCATCGGCGTGGAGCGCTGCTACACGGCACATCGCGAGGGCGCACAGACCTTCTTGCCAGTTCAGGCTGATGGTGACGGGATGTGCCAAGTGTTGGCAGGTTACGAGCTCTCAGCCATTGCGAGAACCTAAAATCTAGAAAGAATATGTGGCAAATCTAGAAAGAACCTAAGTTCTCACTTAAATCTACTAACAGAATTATATAGTTTGTGGAATGCCAAGACTCAGCAACATCTGGCAGGTTGGGCTTTGTGCAGCGCGGCGCGACCCGCAGAAGAGCTCAGGGCCATCGACTCAGGGGGAGAGAAGATGAGAGAAGACCGAGCGCTGCAGTTGAGTAAGCAAGGACGCTATTCGGTTGGAGCAAAGCGTCCTGTTAAAAGGACGTCCACGGCCAAAGCCTTGAGGCTTTCTGGGAATCGAGCAAAGAAACAAACCAAGAAAGAATTGTCTAAAGAAGTAGAAACGAAGAAAGAAAAGACATGTAACTCCGATATATTGTATCAAACTGTCTTTCTTGCTTCAAGAAAAGCATCTTAGTTTGTGGTAGGGATAGGCGCGAAGTCCAAGACCTTTTCAGCATAGCTCAGATGTGTCAATTTCGCACCATAGCGCTTTGCGTGGACATCTTCGGACCAACGCATGGAGCAGGATTTCCGTGATCACATAAAATAGTTGCAACGCCTCGCAGTGCCAGCACCGATAAAGTCATACCAAAATTAAACGCTTTGCAATGGTAGTACCAGAGTAATGTGTGCAAAGAAAGCACAAGTTCAACTGTTAAACTTTGAGTGGTTCTCTCCATCCCCAGTGAAAAGGTCTAGCCTTGTTTTGCCCACACCACATGGCTCACTCTTTAAAAAGGGCTTTGAAGAGATCTGGTGCTTTTCCATAGTAACCCTTCCGGATGCCCAGTCTGAGTGGAAGTGACATCAACAGCCTCAGCATAGCAGAATAGCAGAGACACTTTTTACATTCCTTGGAGCCCTGCCACGCCTGAGGGCTTCCTCACATTGGATCCTCTCGCCGGTCTCGTTGTATGTCTTCCCCAAGAAAGCAGCGCGGGCACCCAATGATAGCAGTGTGAGGGAGGGAAGCACTGGAGTCAATTCTGGAACTCATACTGAAGTAATAATAGCTTCTTACTTGGATTTAAGACCACTGAGGAAGTAAATTCCGTAAGCACCGACCACTTAATAAATCTACTTTTGATGCTGCAACTTGCGATGCACGGATGGTGTCATATGCCCATTGGAGGGTCGATTTCCTATCTATTCGGAGACCACAATCAAGACATGTTTTATCAGTCTCATCCTTGTCTTACCGTTGATTCCTGTGAGCCCCAACCAACGCTCAGCATGGCAGTAAAGTCAGTTGACTTGACCCAGATCAACCCAATGATCACAGTGTCAGGCTACAGCCTGGTAGCTGCACTTGGAACTGGAGAAGCGGCTGTGTTATCTTCTAAGTGAATGGTTCAAGGGTTTCAAGGTGTTTCAAGACAATGGTCGTGGATATTCGCAACTGGGGGCGATCGGCCAAGGAGCACCACTTCTCAGTCTCAGCAGCTCGGCAGTGTCAGGGCACAGGAGGGTGGAACTTTTTCTGCACAGGAGGGTGGTTTCACGAAATTGTGGACTGGGCATCTTCAAGTGTTTTGAAAGCGGCGGAAACGTTGTGGAACCTTTGGGGCTTGTGCACATGCTTTGAGGTTGCCAACAAGATCCAACAAGCATTAAAAAAGCAAAAAGAAAACGTCAAAAGGGCGACAAGTTAGAGTCATGAAGGAACCTGCGTCACCCGATAGGGTTCGGTCCGACTGGCCGAGGCTGCCACGATGGTCTTCCTGGATGAGAATGGCTTTAACTTCAACGACTGGGTGAGGCGAACACCAGAAGATCTGGAACCAAACTCAGTGGCATTCTGCAGGAAGTATTTTTTTAGCCCATTCTTCTTTTTGTTTGGGTCCCTGCTTCAGATAGGGGTCATAGGCTTGAGGGTCATGCTTGTTGGACATCTAGCTCATCTCCCCAACAATGAAGTACATGAGTCCCAGACCTTTTCTTGGACTGGAGCTCTTTTGGATTCAGTTGGATTCAGTCGAAACAAGCAAACCTAGGATATCGTAGGTTTGTCATCCCCAAGAAGAGCTACCTCTTCCTCGGGGGATGGCTTCTGGTCGATGGGCCAAAAATGTGCTCGGAAGTGTCGGCCGCAGGTATGGCTTGGGGTGGCTCCGCCCGGCAGAGGAGGAGGTCAGTCGTCCCTCCAAAGAGGAAATCTCTGAAAGCATGACTCTAAGATCTCCCCAAGTTCTTTTGATGGACTATAATAGTATATAACTATATAATAGGCAGGATTTTTATATGTAAAAATGCACTTCAGATTTACAGGGCCGGGTGTTCTAGTTCTAGTCTTGTCCATTTGTCCGTGATGTGAGACGACGGGGATCCATGTGCCATTGTGCCAGCCAGCGACTTCAGCCAGGAGAAGCGCCGTAGCATCCAACAGCGCATCGACGAAGTCACACGCCTGCAGCGTGCGGCCCAGTGCGCTGCTCCACCTCCTTCCCAGGGGACGGAGGAGCAGCCGGCATTGGAGATCCCAGAGGGCAACTTGGACCAAGGAAGATTTGAGTTGCAAACAGTCTGAAATTCTCTTGGTTTTGTTCAGCGGTTATTTGGTGAGTGCATGTTCGTTCTTGCTAGTTCTTGTTGCTTGTTTTTGTTGGCATTTGTTTGCTCTTTAGTCTACAATGCGACCCTTACTAAACCCTAGAAAAGGGTCTGAGGGATTTTTGCGTGTGGAACAGGGTATCCAGAAAACAAGGTTGCCTGTAGCATTCAATTTGAAAGTTGCATGAAAGGAAAGACCGTGTTGGTTGATTTTTTTGTTTCATTGTGATCATTGTGAGTGTTCTTTTCGCTTGACTTACTACAAAAGGAATCCGGCACCCCCCAAGTGTTAATCTATTCAACTTGCACTATTGACACTGCAAGGTCCGGGAGGTATAGGGAGCAGTTCCAGGTATCAACCATCAAATGCCCTGCACAGCATTTCGCAATCAGCTGAACATCATTTTGAAAGACCAAGGGTCTCAATTTGAGTCTCAATGATCTCCAAGATGAAATCAGGGACAACATTTGGTACTCATCTTGCGGTTTCCGTGTGTGTCATCAAAACAACCGCAGGGGCCGATCGTGCGGTGATCGACTCTTGCCGCCGGCAAGTGCGCGAGTGGCTTGAGCTGCTTGGCCAGTTGGGCGACGAATTCGCTTGGCGTGTTGGGTCAACTGCAGAAATCTCGATGGTTTGGCTTTGATACAGCCTTGTAGTCTCAGGGTTTTGCCAGGTTCACTAGTCTGACTGTACAGTACCCAGAGAAGAACTACCGCAAGTAAGCAATAAGCTAGAGCCAAGCAAGAGTATGCAGCACTGACCGTCCCGCAACCGTCAAGTAAACTGTGGGGTCCAGAAAAAACCTTTGTCGGTACGAGGAACATGTGGGAACACCCTCAAGCCGCTTGGGATTATTGCGGACCCACTTCTTTGAAGAGTTGCCTTGCAGAGGGATTGGGGTCAAATGGTGTGAGCATCGGCGGGTTGGGAGGCTGCTAGACGTTTTGTATACTCCAAGTCATTCGCAATAGATGCATGCTGCACCTTTCTGACGCCTAAATCAAATCCAGTGGCAAAACAAACAACCTGACCACGCACCTGTGCCGGAGGACAGGTCCACTTAGTCACTGTAAGGAGTGAAGCCACATTGTTCACCTGTTAGAGACCTGACATCTTGATGGCCCAGGTCGACCACAGACAGTCCTTTGGAGATCCCAATGGAGAATGCCTTTCAGAGCCTTGGCCGATGCAGACCTCTCATCGATTCAAGGAGAACGTCCAAGCCCAAACTGTCATCGCCTACCCGCTTCAAGCTCCCCCTATTCTCACCCCTTTCCCCGGCGGCTACCGTTTTCGGCTCAAATGTGTGGGGTTCACATCCCTGCAGGATTTTGAAAGGGTCATTATTGAAACGCTGGGGTTGGTTGTGCTATATTGCAGTTCTTGGCGCTATCCGCTTCACCCTCTTAGTGGCTGGGATACAAAAGCTAGTCGATGAACGGTTTCGATGGTGATGGCAATAAAAACAGGTATGTGGTCGGCATTTTTCCACAGAGGTGCTTTTCGGCCGGAAGATTCTGGAAGCATGTGGGAAGTTTGTATCAAGTGATTCGCTCGGAAGGCCGCCCAATGGCACACATCCCAGGCGACTCCTGATGCACACGATCATTGCTCAGGCCTTGTGTTCCTGACTTGCTCAATTGGCCGTGATATTTCTCAATGGCTCATTAAGGTTTGGATGCTGCCATGCTACTACGCAAACAGCATGAAACAGCCATGGTCCTTAGGAAGTTTGGTGGAATGATTTGTCTGAGCAAGAGGGATAATGGTTCCGATTGATTGGAACTTCTCACCAGTTTGTAAGGGAGGGGCCCGGTTGACCCGTTAAACTCTTTTGTTTGACATAGATCGCATCGATCTCCACAGAGGTTTTACATCTCCACAAGCCGCTAGCCCCGCCGCACCCAGTTCCCACCCGTTCCAGGAGTTCCCATCGGTCTACAGCCATTCGGCCCGCCGTGACGGCGAACGCTTTCTGTGTGCCGGGCAGCCCAGCAAATATTTCCAACAACCAGCAGGGCCCATGAAAGCTTTCCAAACTTTTCCAACAGAAGAGCAATGGCCTCTAACCCAAGAGTGATGGCCTCAGACCTA